GTTGCGTCACTGCGCCGGGGGGGGCGGAACCATTGAGTGAAGGGCAGGGGGAGCGCGGGCGGAACCATGGAGGGAGGGGCGGGGGGAGATGGAGCCGTGGTGTGAGGGAGGGGACGAGGCCGCCGTAACGGGCCGGGCTCCGGGCAGGGCCCTGACAGGGAATCCCAGAATGGTTTTGGGGAAGGAACCTTAAAGCCCCCCCAGTGCCACCCCCTGCCCTGGGCAGGGACACCTCCCACCACACCAGGTTGCTCCAAGCCCCCTCCAACCTGCCCTTGAACCCCTCCAGGGATGGGGCAGTCACAGCTTCGCGGGCCAACCTGGGCCAGGCTCTCACCACCCTCACAGCCAAGAATTCCTTCCCCACATCTCATCTCAATCTCCCCTCTTTTGGTTTAAAACCATTCCCTCCTGTCCTATGGCTCCCCTCCCTCATCCAGAGTCCCTCCCCAGCTTTCCAGCTTTCAATGAAGCTGGTGAGGGGGCTGGAAAACAAATCGTATGAGGAGCGGCTGAGGGAGTTGGGACTGTTTAGTGTGAGGAAGAGGAGGCTGAGGGGAGACCTCATCACTCTCTACAACTACGTGAAAGGACACTGTAGAGAGGTTGGTGCTGGGCTCTTCTCACAGGTAATTAGTGACAGAACGAGAGGGAATGGCTGGGTGGGTTTAGATTGAACATTAGGAAAGAATTTTTCACCAAAAGAGTGGTCGGGCATTGGAACGTGCTGCCCAGGGAGGTGATGGAGTCCCCATCCCTGGCTGTGTTTAAGGGCTGTTTAGATGCAGTGCTGAGGGACATGGTGTAGGGGAGGACTTTGTAGAATAGGGTAGATGGTTGGACTCGATGATCCCAAGGGTCTCTTCCAACCTAGACGATTCTATGATTCCTGGAGCCCCTTGAGGGACTGGAAGGGGCTTCAAGGTCTCCCCAGAGCCTTCTCTTCTCCAGGCTGAATCCCCCCAACTCTCTTAGCCCCCCCTTCTCAGCAGAGGGGCTCCTCCAGCCCTCCCAGCATCTCCGTGGCCTCCTCTGGCCCCACTCCATCAGTTCTGTCTCCTTCTGCTGTTGGTGGCCCCCATGGGGCTGGGGATGCAGGTTACTGGTGGCTTTCTGGGCTGCCAGCACACGTTGCCGGGGCCTGTGGAGCTTCTCACCCACAAACACCCCCACGTCCTTCCCCTCAGGGCTGCTCTCCAGCCATTCTCCCCCCAGCCTGGATTGGTCTTTAAGGTCCCTTCCAACTCGATGACCCATGCACAGCCCCTGAGGGCCACCCCAGGGCTCCAGCACGTGGTGGGGCACAGCCCACCCCATTGCAGCAGGTCAGGCCTCCTGCCCAGCTTGTCCCCTCGCACTGTCCCCGCTGATGCTCAGGCTTGGTTACGCCACCAGTTTGGGCCACACGGCAAGGTCCCCTCAAGCTGAACAAATTCCCAGGGTTTTCTCAGCGTTTCTCCGACTTGCAGCCTGTGGTGCTTCCTCTTTCCTTTTCCTTTTGAGGCCAACCCAGAGACAAGCTCTCCTGCTGCAGCAAGAAGGACAGCAGATGGTCTTCGCCTTGTGCAAATCCTCTTCCCCAAACACCATCGTGGGTCCCAGAAACACCTTGAAGCAGAGGGGGAGAGAGAAGGAGGGAGCTGCCGCCATCATCAACCTGCAGCTCCTTTACACCCAGGACCTGCCCCCAGCTGGTGCCATGGAAGGAGAGCACAATAATCAACGGAGTGTGTTGAACCTGGTGGCTGTGTTTGAAGAGAACCGGTAAGGAAGGAGCATCCTGGGGGCTGTGGGTGCATTAGGGCTCCCCAGGGTGAGGGTTTTGGAAGGAAAGAACCCACTGTGGAGGTGATTTGGAGGCTGTGGAGAATCTGACTGGGCGATTTGCTGTTCTTCAGCGCTCAGAACTGCCCCAGTGTCTTCCTCCTGCTGTGGGTCGTGGACAGAAGACCGTAAACCTCAGTGGGATGTGACTGACTTTGCTGGAGGTTTCTTTTCCTGGCGCAGGGTTAGATTGTGGCATCCATCCTTGTTCCCTCCCCGCTCAGCACCTTTGCAGGCAGCCCGGCTGGGGAATGCTTTTTCCCCTGCTGCCAGGGAAGAAGTATTTTGGTTTGCAAGTATGTTGGCAATGGTCTTCACTGGGAATTAACTGCTTGAGCATCTGGGAGGATCCAAGCCTCAGGCACCAGCCTCAGACTATCCAGTTCTTTGCAGCGATGTGGCTCCCAGGGGGAAGAGAAAGTTCGGTGTTAAGGGAGAGAGCAAGTTCCTATTGAGCAGCTTGGCAGCCCCATAAAAGAGCACCTTCTCTTGGAGCATGAGCTGGGACCCACAAAGAATGTGTGCCAGAGCCAGAGCGAGGGAATCTGCCTTGGTGTAGGAGTAATTCTGAAGCTTGGGGCGAGCTATCATTGTGGTCCATGCCTCAGTTTCCCCATCTGTTGAATTGGGATACCGAATCTTGCCTTTCCTTGTACCAGTGAGGTGCTCTCAGCAAGCCTTAATGAGGCTGGGCAGTTTTGCAGCACTTCCTAAAGATGGTCAGGCACGAGATTTCCTTCTGCTCCAGGACTTCACCTGCACCTCTGCTGCCTGCTTTGCCCCCAGCTTTGTGCTCTGGCTGGTTGTGGTTGTCCCCATGGTCCTATGGTGGAAATTTGGCCTGTGATGTTGTTGCATTGGAACTGTTTGCAGCACTTGATCTGCCCCCATTTTGCTGCTGCAGCATGTTTGTTGTTTATTGGGAAGCGTGAGTTCGATTTAGAGGAAATAAAAGTAACTTACAACTTTCAGAGGAAGCTGGGGAACCTGGAAGCAAGTTTTCTGGAACAGAAAACGGTTTAGCCCAAGTCAGCACAAATAGAAAGAGGGAAGTTCCCTGTTGGATCTGGGCAGTGGGCTGAGGCTGACACAGGTCTGGGAGGCACCGGGGGGCACAGAAAAAGCCTCTCTGTCCCATGAAGGGTTGTGGCAGGCCCTCTGGACAGGAGGAGATGCGTGCATGGCTGTGGATGCACTCCCAAGCTCATAGAAGTGTGCTTATCAGTGTGGGGATGAACCCCTCATCCTCTTCAGATGAGCGTCTGCTGCTCAAGTCATCTCCTGTCCTGAACTTTGCAGATTTATGTCCAGTTTCTTCCCCTCCTCATCCCACTCCTGTCTGCAGGCCACTGGTGGATGTCTCTCTAGTTTCTGCCTGGAGCTATTTATTACAGGAACCAGCTCTCGGATGACAGAAAACTCACTGTTGTCATCTTCAAGGCCTGTGCCCTGTGAGGTTTCTCCCCCATGGCTGCTCTGGATCTGTTTTCCTTGTCTCTGCCACAAAAGGGAAGAGAGAAAACCACTGAAGAACTACCCCTCTGCAAAACCACCTACACAAACCCTCCTCTTGGCTGGCACCCCTTGGTTTTTTGACTTTTAAAGCCTGGTGCCCGAGGCAGCTGGCTCCCTGCTTTGGCTGCAGGCTGGCAGCAGCAGAAAACCAGAGCTGTGCCAGCACCACAAAGGCTACGCTTCAGGCACTGGATGGCTGTGGATGAGCCATGGCTGTGGGTGGGATAAATGGCAGAGTTGTGCTTTTCTAGAGCAGGATGGGGGCTGACCACAGCAGCAGGAGGCACCGGGAGAAGAGAGGCTGGATCCTGGCCCCCTTGGAGGATGGAGGGGCTTTCAGACCCTGGTGTGTGTCAGGGTCGTAGAAGAGCAAAGCAGCATCAGCGCTGGGGTGCTGTTGGGTCTTATCACCTTCACTTGAGGATGGTGTCTTTAATTGGGGCTTAAGTGTGCTGGGGGAATGGGTGAGCTGTGCTGGGGGAATGGGTGAGCTGATCACACTGATTCCCCCATGGCAGGGCCAGCAAATTTCCCCAGAAGGACAAGCAGGCTCCATACAGCCAGGCTGCTCCTGAAACCAGCCAGCCCCAGCAGCTTCCAGTGTCCCCCACCAGCCAGGGCCTCTCCCAGATGGCTACCAGGTACCACGTGGAGCAAGAGAAGAAGGAGGAGGAGCAGCAGGGTCAGCGGGGGCTCAGCTTCAAATGCCTCCGTTCTTTCCGACACAAGATCAGTGAGGACAACTGGAGGAGGCAGCGGGACTGCAGCCTCGAGACCGACAGCAAGGTGAGCTCCAGAGGAGCCTCAGGAGAGGCTGGTGGGTGCCCACGCTCAGACAGGGAGTCGTGTGGGCTGGACTGGGGAGCTGAGGTCTCTGTTTGCCCTGAACAAGTCCCTGACCTTCAAGGGCCAGTGCGTGGGGTGACAGAGAAGTGGCCTGTTCCCTGGCGCTTTGGGCAGAATTCCCCATAGTCAGCTAAATCCAAGCAGACCTTGTCTCTTCCAGCTCTAACTATGCCATGGGAGTCAGATGCACAGGTCCATAAATGCCTCCGTTCTTTCCGACACAAGATCAGTGAGGACAACTGGAGGAGGCAGCGGGACTGCAGCCTCGAGACCGACAGCAAGGTGAGCTCCAGAGGAGCCTCAGGAGAGGCTGGTGGGTGCCCACGCTCAGACAGGGAGTCGTGTGGGCTGGACTGGGGAGCTGAGGTCTCTGTTTGCCCTGAACAAGTCCCTGACCTTCAAGGGCCAGTGCGTGGGGTGACAGAGAAGTGGCCTGTTCCCTGGTGCTTTGGGCAGAACTCCCCATAGTTAAATCCAAGGAGACCTTGTCTCTTCCAGCTCTGATATAAATATGCCATGGGAGTCAGATGCACAGGTCCATCCCAGGGCATCCCTGAGGCTGTGCTGCCCTTTTCCAACTCCAGACACATTTCTGCAGGACTGCATTCAATTCCTTGGTGGAATTGCAGGCCATAGGGTTGACCCATCCCACCCTTCCCCACTCCTCAGGGTCACTAGCCCTGTATTTCTCTGGGAGAAACAGGCACACAGAGAAAGGGGTGACCTAGGAGGACATGAGCCAGACTTCCCGGCAGCCCCAAAAATGCTTTGTTTTCACCCTTGTTTTTACCACATGCTTTGCTGACATCCTTCCTTTGCCTTCACCCGGAGCACGGTCCAGTTTGATGTGGGCTGTGAATGTTGGGAAACAGAGCTGCACCCCATCGGGCTGGTGGGGAAAGCTTGGATTGCAGCCCACCAGATTGAGTCCTTCTCCCCATGCAGGAACCAGAGGAAAAAAAAATAGCTCTGGAGCTGCTGGAGACAGAGCAGGCTTATGTCAACCGCCTCCACCTTCTCGACCAGGTGAGCTGCAGAGCAGAGGGGCCCACAGAAGTCTGGGAAGCAATAGCCCTGCTGCCATCTGCCCCCACCAGCACAGCTCAGCCACCTATGCACAAGCCAGGGACTGTTTCCTGGAGGTTTTGGAGAGACTGAAGCTGTACAGATGAGAGCCATGGTTGGTCTGCTGGTCTTCATGGCCAGAGAATGGGTCTGGCCTTTGCCTTTCCTGCACCCCACACCTCCAAGGAGCACCTTTGTCCCAGGAAAGCTTTCCTTCCAACCCTGATTCTCTCCTGGGGTCTGGGATTTCCCTCCTGCACAGTCAGACCTTTTCACTGAACAACGAGCTGGTCTCAGGAAGGGAATGGGGTCCTTAAGCCTCTTCCTGAGCCTTTTTGTTCATCCCTGCTTTCTTCCAGGTATTCTATACAGAGTTGATGAAAGAAGCCAAAAACGGGAAGACGGTCCCGGAGGAGGTGGTGAAAATGATCTTCTCCAACATCTCCTCCATCTACCAGTTCCACGCCAAGTTCTTCCTGCCAGAGCTGCAGAAGCGTATGGAGGACTGGTGAGCTGCGGGGCAGGACACCTGGGTGGCTTTGCCAGAAAGGGGGAGCAGCGATGGATTTGGTCTCCCATCAGGACCAAAGAGCTTGGCCTGTTTTGCTCCAAATGTCTTTGTGCTGGAAAGCCCTTCCTTAAAACATTCCAACCCACACCAGGGTATTTCTGAAAAGTGGGGGTGACATCTCAGGTGCTTTAGGGATGTGCCCAGGTCTGAACAGCCCAAGTTGGAGACATTCTCATTTTGGAGACTGGGAAGTTGTATGGGAATGGAGCAGGTCATAGCTGTAAAACCTCTGTCCTCCACCTCTTTGCTTTAAACCTACCCAAGCTCCAACAGGGTAGGTTTAGATTGAACATTGGGAAATAATTTTTCACTGAAAGAGTGGTCGGGCATTGGAACAGGCTGCCCAGGGAGGGGGTGGAGTCCCCATCCCTGGCTGTGTTTAAGGGCCGTTTAGATGCAGTGCTGAGGGACATGGTGTAGGGGAGGACTTTGTAGAGTAGGGGAGATGGTTGGACTCGATGATCCCAAGGGTCTCTTCCAACCTAGATGATTCTATGATTCTATGATCCCTCCCTGGCTCTCTTCCCTGCTGGACTGAGGGAAGTGCCTGTCTGTGGTTCCCTTCCACAGGAGCTGCAACCCCCGGATCGGGGATGTGATCCAGAAGCTCGCGCCGTTCCTCAAGATGTACGGCGAATACCTCAAGAACTTCGACAAAGCCGTGGAGCTCATCACCACCTGGTCAGAGAAATCCCCACCCTTCCAGGAGCTCATCCATGACATCCAGGTAATGCCCCACAGCAGGGCGGGGGACGCAGCGGTGCCCCCCAAAATCTCCCTTGCAAGGGGGAAGCAGCGGAGGGTGGGAGCTGCCTTGGTCACTGTGTCTCTCTCTCTCTCCGTGCCTGGTGTGTGTCTCTCCCCAGAAGAGGAAGGTCTGTGCTAACCTAACGCTGCAGCACCACATGCTGGAGCCTGTGCAGAGGATCCCACGCTACGAACTCCTCCTGAAAGATTATGTCCGAAAACTGCCACCCGAGTCCCCGGACCGGGACGATGCGGAGAGTAAGGGCTTGTTTGGCTTTCCCTGCTGTGGGGGGGGGGGGTCAGGGGGGGTTTGTAGGGGAAATAACAACCTGAAGGGGCCTACATGAAGGCTGGGGAGAGGCTGTTTAGAAAGGCCTGCAGTGACAGGACGAGGGGCAATGGCTTCAAGCTGGAGGGGAACAGATTTAGACTGGAGATGAGGAGAGGGTTCTTCACTGTGAGGGTGGTGGAGCACTGGAACAGGTTGCCCAGGGAGGTGGTTGAGGCCCCTTCCCTGGAGATATTCAAGGAGAGGCTCGACGAGGCCCTGGGCAACCTGGTCTAGTTGGGGGTGTCCCTGCTGACTGCGGGGGGGTCGGACTAGATGGCCTTTGGAGGTCCCTTCCGGCCTGGGCAATTCTATGATTCTATGATTGTACACGAGCATCAGGATACCTGGATTCTCTCACCAGCTGCCCTGTGCCCTTGGATAAACTTCTTTTATCTGAGAGGGTCTGATCCTTTTCTAGCAGAGAAAGGGATTAACCTGCCCTTTCAGGGCCAGGGAAGGTGGGTGGTGTTTCAGGATAAGGATGGTCCCTCCTGAGCATCCCCCAGGGAGACATTGGTGACCAGGGGAGCTATAGGGACCCCTGGGGATCACAGCAGCTCCCAGTCCCGCCGGGATGGGGTGACAAAGGAAGGGCTGGGTGTCCCCCCAGGACATGGCCATGTCACCACACAGCCCGGACAGACCCGGACGCTTGTGCAGCTCTCGGGGCCATTCAGGTTGTGTCCAGGGGGGGGCAGCAGCCACCACACCCTGGCTCTCCCTTTGGGGTGAGACTCGGAGGTTTTCTCCCACAGCAAGTATTTAACCTTCTTCCCTTTCTCTTCTCGTTGCAGAGGCCCTGGAGATGATTTTTATGGTGGCCAAGCATTCAAACGCAGCCATCGCCGAGATGGTGAGTGCCTTACCCTGCTGGTAGTGCTTTGCAGCTCGTGGCATGGTGATTTGCCAGATTTCCACGTGGTCTCACTGCTGGGTGACTCAGGGGAGCGCACAGCCCTGCCCTGAACGGGACAGGAGCACTGTGGGTTCAGCAGAGGAGGTCAGACCCTGCTCCTGGTGCCTGATCTGCTCTCCCCGAGCCTGGGGAAGTCATGTCTGCAACATCAGCCGTGATGTGACCAGCTGTTTTGAGGCTGGGAGCTACTCTGGAAGATCAGTCTGGAGTGAGAGCTGTGCCATCTCTCCTGGTGCTTAGCAGCTGGTGTGGGAGATGGGGACAGAGGGGACCCAGGAGGTGACAAGGTTGTGGCTGCTCAGCTCCCTACAGAAACGGGTCCCTCTGCCTCCCCCAGGAACGGCTGCAGAACCTCTGGGCGGTCTATCAGCGGCTGGGCCTCGAGGACGACATCGTGGATCCCTCCAACGAGCTGATCAAGGAGGGGCCGATCCAAAAAATCTCCACCCGCAACAACAGCACATCGGAGAAGTACCTGTTCCTGGTGGGAGCTGGGATTCCCAGGGAAAGGGGCAGGGAGCAGATGGGATTGGAATGGGGAGAAGGGCAGCACAGCTTGGCCGGGGTCTTGCTGGGTCATCTCCACTCAGAGGGGATCATAGAATCAATAGAATTGCCCAGGCCGGAAGGGACCTCCAAAGGCCATCTAGTCCGACCCCCCCGCAGTCAGCAGGGACACCCCCAACTAGACCAGGTTGCCCAGGGCCTCGTCGAGCCTCTCCTTGAATATCTCTAGGGAAGGGGCCTCAACCACCTCCCTGGGCAACCTGTTCCAGTGCTCCACCACCCTCACAGTGAAGAACCCTCTCCTCATCTCCAGTCTAAATCTGTTCCCCTCCAGCTTGAAGCCATTGCCCCTCATCCTGTCACTGCAGGCCTTTCTAAACAGGTTCTCCCCAGCCTTCCTGTAGGCTCCCTTCAGGTACTGGAAGGTTGCTATTAGGGCTCCCCGGAGCCTCCTCTTCTCCCTGGGCCCTTGGGGGACGTCACATTCCAAGAATGCTCTGCCTTTGTAGGGTCGGAGAGGGCTGGGGCAGAAGCTGTCACTTTTTAGGCTGGATTCTTCCCAAGGACCAGCTTGGCCACAGGGGTTGAAGGACCCTAGATCTCAGGGAAGCCCCCGGCTCTGAGCAGGAATGTGCTGGGCTCCAACCAACCCTTTCTTCTTTCTCCTCCTTCCTGCCCAGTTCAACAACATGCTGCTGTACTGCGTGCCCAAGGTCATCCAGGTGGGCGCCGAGTTCCAGGTCCACCTCCGCATAGACGTGGATGGCATGAAGGTCAGACAGACACCTTGTCTTTGGCATTCCCCCAGACCCCAGCTCCCCTAAAACACACACTGCTCTGGGGGGTAACGTGACCGCTGCCACACACCTCCTTGGAAAGGAGGGAGGAGCTGGAGCCAGGGGTGGCTTTGAGGGTGAGGAGAACTGGTTGATACGCTCTGGTCCTGTGAGATTGCAGTGCAACCTCATCCATGTAGGATTTGAGGGGCCAAAGGGCTTGTGCCTGAGGGAAATCCCTGTCCCCTACGTCACGGAGGAAGGGCCCGGTGTGCTGGGTGTGGGTCCAGCTGCTCCACATCCTTTCTTTGGTCTCTCTCAGGTGCGGGAGCTGAACGACACCCAGTTCCCTCACACATTCCTGGTCTCTGGAAAGCAGAGGACTCTGGAGCTGCAAGCAAGGTAAGGGGAAGGGTCACAGAATCACAGAATCGCCTGGTTGGAAGGGACCTTTAAGATCATCTAGTCCAGAAAGGGTCCTTCAGACCCTTGTGAGGAGGAGGGGAAACACCAGCTCACTCCTCTCCCTTTTTGTACCAGGTCTGAGGAGGAGATGAACGCCTGGATCAAGGTACCACTGAGTGCTGGCAGAGGCAGCACGTCCTGCTCACCCCACCCTGGCCCCCACACTGGGCTGATCTCCCCCCTGCATGTGTCAGGGGCAGCCCTCCAGCCCTGCCTTCCCCTCTAGGCCTTCCAAGATGCCATTGACAGGAAGGAGAAGAGGAGTGAGAGCTTTAAGACAGTGCATGGGCTGGAGACAGGCACCTCTGAGCTGAAGGTAACCCTCCTGCCCTCCCCGTGCCTTGCCTGCCACCAGCACCCCCCTGCATGGAAGCCCAGGGAGAGCCCACCTTGCTGTGCCTCAGTTTCCCCAGCTCAACAGATAAGGGGAAGGGCTGGGGAGCAGAAAGGTGAGAGTGGAAGGGCTGGGACCACCCGGGCCATGACTAGCCAGCCCTAATGATGCTGTCTCCCACCCCCAGACTGAGGAGCTGGGTCGCCGAGCCCCGCAGTGGGTGCGGGACAACCTGGTGACCATGTGCATGCGCTGCAAGGAGCCCTTCAACGCCATCACACGCCGGAGACACCACTGCCGAGCCTGTGGATACGTGAGTCACCCCGTCCCCCCTCCCTTCCCTCCCTCCTGGGCCTGCTCAGGTGGCCGCTGGGCCACCTCTCCCACACCTTGTCCCCCTTTTCCCTGGCTCCTGCCCTCAGGGAGGTCCCTGGGCTCCCCCCAGTCCCACTGGTGTCCCTGTCTGGTGGTTGCAGGTGGTGTGTGGTCGCTGCTCGGACTACAAGGCCGAGCTGCAGTACGATGGGAACCGCCTGAACCGCGTGTGCCTGGAGTGTTACGTCTTCCTGACGGGCCACGTGGTGCTCGAGGACCGGGAGGGGAAGCACAGAGGCATCCTGGAGGTCAGCTCTGCCACCTCCTCCCCGTGTCCTGCTCCTCTGTCCCTCCCTCTTCCTCCAAGCTCTGCCACCCACCCCGGTGCCCCAGCCTTGGGGTCATGTCCCTGGGGAGGGAGTCACTCCACTGCAGTCAGAGGGTGACACTCAGGCTGTGTGTCACCATCCCTGGCTGTGTTTAAGGGCCGTTTAGATGCAGTGCTAAGGGACATGGTGTAGGGCATGACTTTGTAGAGTAGGGGAGATGGTTGGACTTGATGATCCCAAGGGTCTCTTCCAACCTAGACCATTCTATGACTCTGTGGTGCCCGCTAATTAATTGGACTAAGCCCCCTCCCTCCCACCCTTTGAGCCCTGGCACCAGGCAGCCAGAGCTCCCTCCACCACAGGATCTCAGCAGGATCCACACAGCCAGGACCACCCCTCGCCTGCCCCTGGTTTGGGGGCTGTTTGTGGAGCAGGCAGGGAATTCCCCAGGAAATTACCTTTGCTCCCTGCCCTTTCTGCCTCCCGCACGGGGTGTTTTAAGGATTTCTTCGCTGCTTTTTTGGCAGAAAGGGGCTGCAGAGGTATCGGGCAGGAGTTTGCTGTGCAGTTCCCTGCAGCTGCTGGACAAGAACAGCAAGGGGAGCACACGGGGCTGGTTTGTGATCCCCCAGGATGATCCCCTCGTGCTCTACATCTACGCAGCCCCCCAGGTAAGGCCGGGCTCGGCCTCCATCTGCACAGGACATCCCAGTGTGATCATCCCCTGCCTCTCACCGCTGGTCTCTGCTCTTGGCAGGATGTCCGAGCCCACACCTCCATCCCTCTGCTGGGCTACCAGGTGAAGGACCTGCCCCAGGGTGATTCCCGCCACCTCTTCCAGTTGGCCCAGTCCGGGCAGGTCTACACCTTCCAGGCTGACACGGAGGAGCTGAAGCAGCGCTGGATGAGGGCCATGGCGCGCTCCGCCGCAGGGATCACACACCCGGAGGAGGATGAGGATGAAGACTCCTGCGATGAAGCAGAATGAGGCCGTAGAATCATAGGATGGTTCGGGTTGGAAGGGGGGGATCACACACCTGGAGGAGGAGGAGGATGAAGACTCCTGCGACGAAGCAGAATGAGGCCCTAGAATCATAGGATGGTTCGGGTTGGAAAGGACTTCAAAGATCATCGAGTTCCAACCCCCTTGCCCTGGGCAGGGACACCTCCCGCCAGACCAGGTTGCTCAAAGCCCCATCCAACTTGGCCTTGAACCCCTCCAGGGATGGAGCAACCACAACTGTGGCTCTCCTGGGCTGCCTGGGTCATCCCCCACCGCTCTGCCTTTTGGTGTTTCACCACAAAAAAGACGAGGCAGGGGCACGTTTCCCACCGCATGGACAAGCCGGATCCCCCTTTTCCTCTCCCTCCTTGCTCTCCGCACTGGACAGAGACGATGGTGCTGGTACCCCAGCCGTGAGGTGGAGGGGGAGCCAGGGGGTTTTTTGGGGAGCCTGCCCCCCCCTGCAGCCCGCTGTGCCACCACCAGCTGCCGCCCGAGGGCAGCAGCGCCTCAGCCTTCCTCCAGGGCGGATGGCACAGCCTGGGGAGGGGGGTGTGTGTCTGTGTGTGCCCCTTTTGGTGAAAGCATCTGTGGAATGGGGGCTGCTGTGATAAATCCTACCTGTAACCACCCCCCTCTGAACTCCAAGGAGCCTTTTTTGGGGGTGTAATTCCATATGGGATTGTCACCGGCGTGCCACGTCGCCCTTAGCTGTAGCCAGCCCCGGTGTGACACTGCAGAGACCCAGGGTGGAGCTCATCCTCATCCTTGGGGACACTACTGCTGGATTTGCGGGGGGTCCCCTTCCCAGCCTCTCACAGCCCTGGCCTCGCACTGCTGCAATCCCATGGTGTGGGGGTACCCCTTAACCACATCCTCCCCCCCCCAACCTGCACTCGGGCTGCTGTGATAAATCCTACCTGTAACCACCCCCCTCTGAACTCCAAGGAGCCTTTTTTGGGGGTGTAATTCCAGGTGGGATTGTCACCGGCGTGCCACGTCGCCCTTAGCTGTAGCCAGCCCCGGTGTGACACTGCAGAGACCCAGGGTGGAGCTCCTCCTCATCCTCAGGGACACCACTGCTGGATTTGGGGGGGTCCCCAGGGCCTCTCTCAGCCCTGGCCTCGCACTGCTGCAATCCCATGGTGTGGGGGTACCCCATAACCACACTCCCCCCCCCAACCTGCACTCCTGGATGTCCCCCTGCCCCCCATCCTGCCCCCCAGCACCTTGTACCTCTCTCAGTCATCCATTTCCTTGGGGGGAGATGCTGTGGGACAAGGCTGGCTGCACCCAGGTGGTGCTGCCGTGGGGCAGCGATGCTGGGGAGATGTGGGGGGGGGAATTCCCCTCTCCATCCTCAGCATAACGAGCACCCCGGGTCGTTTCAGAGGGTGCTGCACCTGCAGCCCCACGTTTCTCTCCCTGTATCCTCTCCAGCTCCCCAAAAGGCAGATTTTTGCCCACTTCTGAGCTGGGGGATGCGGGACCCCCGTGCAGGGGGCTGGGGGAGACCCCTGTCCCCAGGAGGCAGGGATTGCTGCCTGCACCCAGGTCCTGCTGCCTGCACCCAGGTCCCACAGCAGCTCCATCCCACCACCCTTGGGCAAGTCCTGGAGGTGTCAGAGGCCAAATGGATCCACGGAAAGTGGGAAGGGACACGAGTAGGAACCCCGATGGTGCGAAGGGGGCCAACGCTCAGGGGAAGGAGCAGAGATGAACGGCAGCCATCACCACCCTGGGGGACTTTGGGGAGCCAGGAAAAAGGTGGGAGCATCGTCCTCCTTCCTCAGCTCATCCCAGGAAAGCACAAACCGTGGTGGCCTTATCTCCTCCAACTTCTGAGATACCATCACGGAAGGGGGAGAGGAGCTGGATGGCAGGGGGAGAGCTCTGCCAAAGCAGTGGCCCCTCGGGGTGCCACCCAGCACAGAGCAAACAACAGGGGGGGGGGTTTCCCAGAAACGCCCCAAAACCGCCTTCCCCTCCCACCACTGCCTCACGTGAAGGGGAAACCCTGACACCCCTGGAAAAGGCGGGTGCTGCCGGGGGGAAAGAATGAGCAAGGGGAAGCCCGCGGGGCTAGAAGGTTCTGCTTGGTGGCCTTCCACCTCGACGTCACCCCCCCCCGGGCACCGGGAGCTGCCCTCAGCTCCTGAATGGACCTAAGAATAGATTTCCTGTTTACCCGCCATAAATCGCTGCTGGGGCGGAGGGCACCTGGGGGCTATTTTTAGCAGCCCCTGGTGTGTGTCCCCCTGCCCCACGGCCACCCTTGGGGACCACCATCCCACCACCACATCCCCGTGGCTGAGGGATGGAGGGGGTGATGGATGGGGCAGGTCACTGCATCCTGCTGTCCCCACAGACGGCTGGCTGGGTGGCAGCATCACTTGGCTGCCCCCGAGCTTAGAATCCTCGATTCTATGATTTTTAGAAAGAGAGAATGGTTTAAGTTGGAGCAGACCTTAAAGATCATCCAGATTCCATCCCATTCCAACCCCCTGCCCTGCGCGGGGTCCCCAAAACAGGCTGGAGGGAGACCTAACTCAGGGGGTGTTTTGTGATTCCCCTGCTTTGCCTTCCTATTAAAAAAAATAATAATAATAAAAGGAGATTTTTTTTTTTTTTTTCACCCAAATGCACTGATGTGATGGATTTTCCTCTTCCTGTGCGGGGTCCCCAAAACAGGCTGGAGGGAGACCTAACTCAGGGGGTGTTTTGTGATTCCCCTGCTTTGCCTTCCTATTAAAAAAATAATATTAATAAAATGAGATTTATTTTTTTTTTTCACCCAAATGCACTGATGTGATGGATTTTCCTCTTCCCGTGCTCTTACGGTCCCCCGGCCGCGTGGTCAAAGCGGAGCCCTTCGGCCTCTCGCCTTCCCCCCCCCCTGAAGAAAACGAAACCCCGGGGAGAAGTCGTGCAGTTTCCTATTTTTAAGAATGAGGAAGACTTGGAGGCCATTTACTGGAATCCCCCCCCCCCCCCAGAGCTGTACCCTGGTGTCACACAGGGATATGGGCCCAGCGCCGTGGGGCAGAGATCTGGTTGGGGGGCGGAGTGGGCTCTTTTCTTTATTTTTTTTTATTTTTCTTTATTTTTTCTTTATTTTTTCTTCATTTTTTCTTCATTTTTCTTAATTTCTTTTAATTTTTCTTTATTTTTCTTCTTTTTTCTTCATTTTTCTTTATTTTTTCTTTATTTTTTTCTTTATGGGGCTGCCGGCAAAGGGCATTTCGTGCTTTTGGGGAGCAGGTCGTGCATCCCGGCGTCTGGCGAGGTGTTTGCCGGCGGCGCAGGAATTTGCTGTTTGGAAGAAAGCTGGGGGAAGGAAGAGGGAGGGGGATGATGGTGATGAGGGGGAAGCTGGCGGTTGTTGTTATTATGATTTAATTTTACTTTCCTGCCTCCATCCAGGAATCTCTGCAAAGTGCCGGCTCCTCCCCGGGAGGCCGGGGCGGCCGTTGAGTCACTGCTGCTGCTGGAACATGACTCAGTCCTGCTGCTTTTCCCCGCCACCGACATGACCAGACTGCCAAAGCCAGGGAGAAGCCCCAGCATCGCCGCCTGCCCACGCCGACGGGCGAGGATGCCCGAAATCCATCCCCCCAGAGCTGTACCCTGGTGTCACACAGGGATATGGGCCCAGCGCCGTGGGGCAGAGATCTGGTTGGGGGGCGGAGTGGGCTCTTTTCTTTATTTTTTTTTATTTTTCTTTATTTTTTCTTTATTTTTTCTTCATTTTTTCTTCATTTTTCTTAATTTCTTTTAATTTTTCTTTATTTTTCTTCTTTTTTCTTCATTTTTCTTTATTTTTTCTTTATTTTTTTCTTTATTATTCTTTATTTCTCTTCATTTTTTCTTTATTTTTCTTTATTTTTCTTTATTTTTTCTTTATTTTTCTTTATTTCTCTTCATTTTTCTTTATTTTTCTTTATTTTTTCTTTATTCTTCTTTATTTCTCTTCATTTTTCTTCATTTTTCTTCTTTTTCTTTATTTTTCTTTATTTTTCTTTATTTTTTCTTTATTTTTCTTTATTTCTCTTCATTTTTCTTTATTTTTCTTTATTTTTTCTTTATTCTTCTTTATTTCTCTTCATTTTTCTTCATTTTTCTTCTTTTTCTTTATTTTTCCCCCAGCTCCACACACACCCACACACACACACCGGTGTAATCACGCTGCCGGGGTGTCCCCAGGCTCAGGAGAGATTTGAGGGAGGGGAGGGGAGGGGATGTGCAGCCTCCCCCTCCTTTTGGGGGGGTCCCCAGGGGCTGCCGGCAAAGGGCATTTCGTGCTTTTGGGGAGCAGGTCGTGCATCCCGGCGTCTGGCGAGGTGTTTGCCGGCGGCGCAGGAATTTGCTGTTTGGAAGAAAGCTGGGGGAAGGAAGAGGGAGGGTGATGATGGTGATGAGGGGGAAGCTGGCGGTTGTTGTTATTATGATTTAATTTTACTTTCCTGCCTCCATCCAGGAATCTCTGCAAAGTGCCGGCTCCTCCCCGGGAGGCCGGGGCGGCCGTTGAGTCACTGCTGCTGCTGGAACATGACTCAGTCCTGCTGCTTTTCCCCGCCACCGACATGACCAGACTGCCAAAGCCAGGGAGAAGCCCCAGCATCGCCGCCTGCCCACGCCGACGGATGAGGATGCCCGAAATTCACCCCCTCAGAGCTGTACCCTGGTGTCACGCAGGGATATGGGCCCAGCGCCGTGGGGCAGAGATCTGGTTGGGGGGCAGAGTGGGCTCTTTTCTTTATTTTTCTTTATTTTTTCTTTATTCTTCTTTATTCTTCTTTATTTTTTCTTCATTTTTCTTCATTTCTTTTTCTTTTTCTTCATTTTTCTTTATTTTTTCTTTATTTTTTCTTTATTCTTCTTTATTTTTTCTTTATTTTTCTTCATTTCTTTTCATTTTTCTTTATTTTTCTTTATTTTTCTTCATTTTTCTTTATTTTTTCTTTATTATTCTTTATTTCTCTTCATTTTTCTTTATTTTTCTTCATTTTTCTTTA